CCCAGGCAGATCACCTCTCTGTTCGATGACGTAGTTCTTCTATCCAGGAGACACATTAAGCCATGTATTGGCTTTTCAAGGTCCAGGTATTTCAAGATACGTACCAAGCCCTTGTCCTGTGGTTGGCACTATGCCGAGCTCTATGGATACAGCGACAACCAAGATGCCCCTCCATTTCTGCATCAAAGAAAGCATTCAGAATTGTGCTCAGTGCTTGGAGGGGTGGGGGCTGCACAGAAATGGGGGGCGCGGAGAGATGGGGGTGCTGAGACACGGGAAGAGACTTCTCTCTGCCAGCCATGCTTAGCCTGAGATGTGAGGATGGAGAAAGGTTACCCGACTGAAGAGAGGTCACGTTCATTTAAGCAGGGGGGAACAGGTCTCGGTAGGCCTCTTGCCATGTAACACCCCTCTGGGTAACCGGGGGCTGTGACCTCAGGGGCATCCAAACCAAGTTTAAGGTTATTTACACCTTAAGGTGCTAGTCAGAAAGTCAGAGGCATTCGTGAAGTTTCTGGAGGGACAGAGGCACGGGTGACAATCCCACATCTACCTGTTGGGAGCGTGGCCTGGAGTCCAATTTTCCGTTCCCCTTGGTGGCTCCTTTCCTTTCCTGGGGTGGCGGATGGGGTTTCCCGTGAGGCCAGGCCCATTTGGGAAGGGTGTGTGCTGTTGGGAACTGGGTAACGTGGCCTCTGGGATCAGAACCCGTCCCAGGACAAGGTGAGTGCGGGTGTGTGTGAGCACCTCCGGGGCAGGAAGCAGGTCTGGCTCCAGCCCAGGAAAGCTGTCAGCAGCGGTAAAGACGGTGAAGATGTCTCCAGGGCGGTGAGAAAGCTGGCTGGGGCCCCGGGGCAGGTGGTGGGGGCGTGGGGGGGGGGGTGGCCAGATTTCCATCTGAGCTGGGCCCTCAGACTCGCTCTCACCTTCAGGAGATGCAAGATGTCTGAGCAGCTCACTATGCTCCACTTGTACTCAATTTAACATGATTTCACTTCCGGGTTTTTATCAAAATCCTCACAAGTTTTTGTCTCTTTAATCCAAAACTAATCACTCTGGGATAAAATCCAGTCCAATTCAAGCCCAAATCAATTCATCTTTGTTAAATCAACTTCGCTGGTTCTCAGACACTGAATAAATACTTTTAATTCCATTTTTCTGTTAGTCACTCCAGGGGAAGGGTAATGGATCAAATTTATAGGCCATTCAAAACTAATTGTTACACGGCTCTTTTGTAAAGAACTTGAGATTTCTAAGCATTTTAGTGATGTTGAATACTATAAAGAAAAAATCCATACAGCTCTAGTTTTCTTTCCCTTAATACTTACACCATTACTCTGACCTTTTCAAAGTTCCTGGGGCGCATGATGCTCATGTATTTTGGCTCAAGAATCCACCATCTGGGAAACTAATTATGCACGGACATCTTCCCCGAAGGACAGACCATATGTATGTGCTCTTCTAGGACTTAAATACGAACATGTGTTTTACAACTAATTCTAAATTGTCTATGGTTTCTTCAGGTTAAATTGTAGCCATTCGTATTTTAGTTGTGACTCTGGGTAAAGCAAAGGGAACAGAGGCCTTGAAGATTTCATTTCTCCCCTTCGGATACGCTACTTAAGATCACTTCTACTTTTTGAAATTACTGAGGTTTCGCTCAACCAATGACAGTATTTCCAAATTCGGTGCCTTGAAATTAAACTGATTTTGCCATATTCCCAGAATCTCCAGAAATGTTTAGGTTGTCTTCAGAGTTAAAAAAAAAATTAAAAACCATACTTTTAGGACCAGTATTTTTTGTTTCATGATGTTGGATTCCCACTTTTTATTTTTATACTAACTTCCCTGGGACACGGAATATAGATTTAGTGGAACATATGGAAGATTATGTCAAGGGCATACCAAAATATTAAAATGTTAAAAATTTAGTTAGAGCTCTGTGTGACTGCTTCATAAACCAGTGTAATTCTTTTGGGAATTAATAAAAGTATTAACTTTTTCCTAAGTGTTTAAAACAGGAGAAAAAAACAAAACAGCAATGTCCAAATCCGTCAGTGTAAGTTGTAAGAAAATATATTTATTTTTCCATGACAATACTATGATAAAATTGTTAAATACATGCATTTTAAAAACAAACATAAGTAACATCTTTAGAGTTAACAGCCAAGCATACTAGTTTTATGTTTAAGGTGTCTTAGTAATAGGTTACTTATATTCTATGTTCTTGATATAATCATGTTCTCCAAAAGATATGGAAACTAAATTCTGAAATTATACGAGGATATGAAATACTCAAATTTTTCCTTCTAACACCAACATAATCTCCCAAGTTTTCACAAGGTAGAAAATACTTCAGTTGTCATCTCTGTTAAGTGGAGTTATTTTATTCCGTTAAACTCGAAATTCTGTGAATCACACCAATATATAGTTTGGTGCCTCTACCTGTGTATTTAAAGGTTTCCTTATACAAATAAGCATGATTTTAGGTATAGAACATCACAGAGGAGAATTCGGGTTAAAAAAAAAAAAAGTCTAGTGGTAACATTTCAAGAAATGAAAATGGGACCGGTTTTGGATGTGCGGCTTCTCCTTATCTTTCAGCTACATTTGCACACACCTGACCAAACAAAAGTTAGTAAACAGTTACTAGTATTTATAAAAAAAAAAAAAAAATTGAAAATATTTAACATGTAACAACTCCTTTAAAAAGACACTCATTCTACAGACAACCTTATAAAAGACAAAACTTCTATCTGTTCACAGTATGTGTATTTTGTAAACAGTTAATTCACTATAATGCAATTGTGAGAGTAAAAAAATGGCGATTTCTAAACATGAAGACGACCTCTGACTTAGGGCTGACTAATGAGAGAGAAGAGAAGGCAACACGTCCCTTTGGGATAGTTGGGTATTTTTCAATGATTTTCAACCTTTGGATACTTTTAAGGTGGTACCATCTCAAATTTCGGATGTCTTTCTATCCAGGCCAATCTTTTTCAAGCAATTTTAAACTGAAATTTATTTAAGAAAAAGCCATGCTCCTTTTTTGAGAAAATAATAGGGAAGCACAAATGCCAAGGTAGGCTAGAATACCTACTCTTTCCCAACAACAGAGTAAGGGTTTCTTACTGTGTGTTGTCTTCAACTATTCATAACATATTCACCTTTCTCCAAAACATTATGTTGGGAGGAAAAAATTAAATAGAAGGGTGTATCATAAATAATGGGAAAAAGTTTTGGAATCCAACGGGGGGGCCAAGTATTTGAAACTTTTTTTTTTTAATGAAAATCATTATCAAATCATTATCAAATCAGTAACAAAATATTGTTGTCTATGATCAATTTGTTAGGTTTAACAGTATTTTGGCAATTGATCATATCAACCAACCCATGTTTCAAAGCAAATTGTATTACCACCTAGAAATATTTCTGAAACGGAATGTTTAGGAGGCACAGTAAGTTCAGAAATTAAAATTACCTACTTTTAAAATGGAATATTCTGAAGGGAAGTATATTTTCAATGTGTAAGGAAATTCTAAACATTTAAATAAGCCATTCAACCAAGTATACGAAGTATTTTTGGCTTAAGGGCAACATAAGGTCTGCTGCTGTTTGGGTTTTTAAAGTTCTGGTTAGTTATTACAAAGGAAATCTTAAGGAAATACAGTAAGTGTAATACAAATTAATTTCCTTATCAGTGAAATATTAATTTTCCCCATCACATCTCTGAGTTTTTAAGGTAGTCAGTTATAGCAATCAAAAAGTAATATAAATTATTACTGTTTTGTATTTGGTTAATATTTAATCAGGGATAGCTTACTTGAGAGATTTTGAAGGTTTCTGTAGTTCAGCTAGGCACCTGTAATGAAGACATGCAGAAGGCTTCCCTCTTAAAACGCTACTTTTAATTTTCATAAAAATGTTGCACAGTTAGAATTTATCTTCCATAGGTAAATTTAAATTCTGTCTGTAACTTGGACACTTATAATCCAAAATAATAACTTTCTTAATACAGGGAGAAACAAGCACTAATCATGGTTAAGAATAACAGACACCTGTCATAACTCAGTATCGTAATTTTGAGAATTTGAATATATTTAGATCAAATCACAGCCTGTGGAATTTTACCACACACAATAAAGCCTGCACTATCAGTTAACTGAATGTTCTTAATCCTCCATACAGGCACTAAAAATAGCTCATTCGTATTGTACTGGCATGAATGCGACCATGTAATAGTTAAGACAAAGGCACAAATTGAAAAATCTCACCACCCTGTCGGAATAAGAGGTTTAAATATTAATAGCCTTGGTACATAATCCACAAAGACCTAAACGGACCAAATTTAAACCCAGTGATTTCCAATGACACTCTAAGGTCTTGTCTAAAGGATGCATTTCCAGTAAGTTTAGAAAATCATTTTCTTCTATGAAAAATTTTCTTCTGGATCTGAAAGGTAGGACGGGCGTTGGTACCCTGCGATTTTGTTTCAGCGGGAAATACCAGTTTAAAATAAATGCTTTGAAGAAATGGTTTATCAAGTGAATGCATGAGTCCTTATAGTTAAGCTCACACATCAATGTCTTGTCGGTTTGCTAGAACAATGCTGATTGGTACAGACACATCCCAAGTTTTGTACACATTAAATAAAATGTTGCTATGGATCCTCACGATGAGGGAGGAGTAAGAAATCTAGTGACGCCTTTGCCAGAGTCTCTCCCAAGTTCTCACCCAAACTGGAGCTACTTCTTGAGTAGATTCAATCTTTTCAGTCAATAGTCTCGGCTCTACACAGGCTAGATGCTAGTATAAAGCGCCCCTTGTGAAAACTGCACATTCTGGAATGGGACTCAGTCAATAAACACTCACTCACTGAATTTCCACCATGTACCTAGCTGTCTTTGGAATTAGCTAATGATCTCACATTTGACTTCTGGGATGCCTAATATTAGATTTTGGAGAAAAAAATGGCATTTTATAAAAGGTATGCAAACTTTAAATGGTTGAAAACAGAAAATAAAAATTACTTTAAACAGAAAAAAAGAGCCTTATCAGATTATGTGCTTGAGCAGTCAAAAAATCTGAGATAACATCTGCATTTTGATATGTTAGGGAGTACTTTAATTTAAAAAATACTATAAAACTGATTTCAAATTCCTTTTGAAAGAAAATATTCCCTAGTCTCCTTCACTAACCTACATCTGATTATTCAAATGTAGAGAGGGCGGTCATGTTCTTTATACATGGTCTGTATGAAGACAATTAAGAAATTACAGGACTAATGATTTCCCACAAGAATACAAGTTGCCTCAAGTTTTAACAATGTGACTTTGACCACGGTTTCCGAGTACGATAGTACCAGACGTTCTTAAAAGCAGTCCTTCAGATCCATGAGCCATGAAGTAATGCTGGTATGGAAAACAGGGCTGATCCTTTCGCCCTTAACCTTTTCCGTGAATGGCTGCTTCAGAGTCTAAGCTGTCGGAACACAGCACCTCTGTCACCAAAGCACATAAACACACAACTATCCAGATATCCAGGGCCACAATCTCAAATCCAGGCTTCTGTCATTCAACACACAGATGACTTCAACTGTATCTGGGTACTAATCCATGCACACGTAATGCACAAGCTCTACCTAATGTCAGAATTCTAGCTAAGTCGTCTAAGAGTATTTTTATAGTACTGTTCGTCTAGGAGGGCCACTCACAAGAGAAGTGCCGTCATAATCACCACCAGAATCTCCATTTTCCACAAGCGAAGCTTGATCTGAAACCGGTTTGTAAGTGAACTGGCTTATCCGAGACAGGAAAACGTGTCCTGAGACAGACTACAATTCAAAAGACGTGGTGAGGCATAGATGAGTCCAGATACTTAAGAGTTTTCTAACCAATGACTAGGCTTTAGTTGAGGAAAGGGGCATCTCCCCATTACTCTGCCAGTCGGGAAGGGCTGAAGGGAACACATCTAACCTCCCCTTCCAACTAGCCTTTAGTTTCCCCTCCCCCAGGCAGAGGAGCTAAAATGACTGGACAGAGCATGACCAACTCTGACTGCTTTTCACATCTGAGAACAGTCCTGGCATTGACAAATAGTGCACATTTACCCAGGGTCTCCAGTGCCACCAACAAGTGGATATGTGACAAAGGGCAGTGTTGAGGTCGCCCCCACATGCCCAGGTAGGGTGGGGAATGGGGGTGGGGAGGGAGGTAATGACTTCGGATTTGCACAGTGAGTCTAGCTGTCTTCAATTCAGTGGGGAAGGACAAGCAACCTGCCTTGGCCTCAGCCCTAAACCATGTATTTCTAGGTATATAGCAAGTTATAAGGAGCTTGCCCAGACGAACAGTGTTGTTATGCTTCCCATTCACCAAGTGAGGATCACTGTGTATGAACTCCAGGGGCAGGGAGAGGTGAGCAGCACTCTGATCCTTTCTCATGCAGGAGAGACACTGAGTCTTGGAGAGAAAGGACTGAAGAGCCCAGTGATATTCACCGTAAGCCAAACAAATGAGTCATTCCGCAGGTTAGAAAGGGCACTGGAACCAGAGCTGCAATGCAATATATACTGATGACAGAGGTCCAATACTCTCTTCTAGACCTTTCCCATTCTCGGTTTAGTGTAGCTCAGACCCACCAACTTCTACTCTAGCCAACACTTATCCTCAAGAGATGGAAGTACGGGATCCACTGGTTTCAAGGGGGAACAAGGCAGGAGCCTGGGGCAGGAGGGGATAGAAATGACAAGCTTCAGCAGGAATGCAGGGAACCCCAGGTCTGAGCACCTGGGGTGCAGGCTGAGGACAGGAGCCTGAGAGGAAAAAGGAGAGTAGCAAACTGTCAGGGACGATCTGGTTTGAGATGTTTTTCACTGCTGAAAATCTCTAGGAGCCATTACATGGTTTTAACGTCTACCAAATGTGAACATAATTAGTTCAGTTTCTATTTCATTCCACGTGTCCCTATATCATGAAGCTCAAGAATTTAGGTGAATTCTAGCAATTAAAATCAGGATTCAGAGAGTACCCAAATGGATTTTGGCCCTTGTCGCCTTGTAGCTTTTTTCCATGACGTGGTTTTTATAAAGAAACATGAGGACCTAGAACAAAAGGATAACCAATCCATTATCATCACAGAACCTCAGAGGATTAAAGAAAGAAACAAAACAAAACAAAACAAGCACATCTTGATGTATTCAGGTATTTCAAATTTTCTGGTACTTTGCCTTAACTACCAAAAAATAAAATATCCATGGGGTAAGGAAAAGGTGTAAGATACACTTTTTAGTTTTTCATTCTGCTTTTCCAAAAACCACGTTCATTCTAGACATCACTTGAGAAAAGCAAGGACAGGCAGAGGCGGCTGTGAAGACACATGGTCACAGACAGCTCACAAAGCTGACACGGGTACACCCGCTGATTCAAACGGACCTGGCCACAATCCGTACGCCATAGCCCTTGAGGAACTGTCCCTGGAGAAGGCATCACCTTCTAAGTTTTAGATTTAAAAATCTGAAGACTGTGTTTAAACAGTCTAGACTGATGATCATTTCAAAAGCAAAACTGCCAAAATGCCTGATCAGAAGGAACCTTCGCTACGAGGTGTCAAAGGTCACCACTGCCCTGTGTCCTGGGGAGGCGCTGAAGCTAGTCGGAACCCTACAGACAGCTAACGCAGCGAGCGTTTGTGCAGGTGTCCCCTCAAACAATCACTGCAATTCTGTTTCTCAGTAATGTTGGATTTGCTCGTGTAACATGGACACTGTGTCATAAGAAAACCAGTTTTTAAAAAAACCTCAGGTCTCCAGGCTTAGAGAATTCGGTCTTAAACGTCAGCGCAACCAAATGCAATAAAGGAAGTTCACATGCAAGCTACAGGGTAAGGAAAAGGTTTGCAAAACCTCCCAAAGCAAAGACAACATGATTGTAATTTGGGCTGGTCAGTGTCATGCTCATTTTCAAAGTTTGTACCCCTGAGAAAACTGTCTGAAAACCATTATACAGTAGGCACAGAAATCAGCATACTTTGTATCAAACAAAACACTACATAGCGGTCACTACATCAGAAATTATATTAATTTTTTGTAAATGCTGTGGACAGAGGAGACTCATGTTGAAAGTTCTGAAATCTGTGCTTGGTTTTCATCTAGAATGGAGCAAGTGTCAGGCAAATAAACATCATCTGGTACTCTGACGTCTTTCTCCCGTGCCTGTAATCGGCTCGCAATTCCACAGCATCCGTATGAGAAAACCACTAGCAGAACAGAACACGCGGCTGGGGGACTTGTTTTGCGTGTGCGGACCGGACGGTATCCGCCGGGAAGTGCTTCCTGAAGGGAGAGCACGTGGGAACTCTCTGGCTCTGATCACGGGTCGCTCCAAGACTTGAGCTGCATGGACCGAATCTCTGAGTGACTCTACTTGGGCTGTGAGACTACACTGAAAGCACAGGGACACTTGGAGTGTGACTTGCGTGCGGGAAGGTCCTCCTCGCCAACAGTACTTCACAGGATCCCTCCAAGACGCCCAGTGCTGGCCCAGGAGCGCCGGAACGGAGAGCTTACTGAGATGGCAGACTGAAGTGACGCGGCGACGCTGTTAGTCGTTGGGTTTGTTCTGAAAAAAGTTTGTGAAGGACCACCCTCCCCCGTTCGACTTCGGGGAGTCTTCGTCTTTAGGAGGGATCAAAAACTGCCTGGAGTTAATGGAGCAGGGGCTTCCGAAAGAGGCCGTTTCACTGGTGCTGTCTGTGGACCTGGGAGAGTCTGGAGACACTAAGTTCCAGTTATTGACATTTGCCTGAGGTCTGTAACCAGCAGTTTTATCTAAGTCGTCCTCCGCGCCGAGGTCTGCCCCAGTAGCAGGGACCAGCAGGTGCATCTGGGGCTTATAGCCGGCGCCCCCGACAGGGTCACTGTCTTGATCTTCCTCTGGTTTCGCCTGAGGCTGGTACATAGACTGGATATCGATGTACACGACCTGAGAGGTCCCTCCGGCCTCCTCGGCGCCCGGCTGCGCCGTTTCCTCCTCAATGACAGGGGGGCAGTAGGACACGACCACGTGGTTCTCGGCATCTGCATCACAGCTCTCGTCCCGCCGCTCGGCTACCGGAGAGATTATTTCCGTGTCTTCTATTTTCGGAACCACTGATCGAGTTTCCAGAACCTCAACATTATTTGGGGTACAAGGATTCATTTCCAATGTTTTGAGAGCACTGTTTCCCTAGAAATAAATGATGAGGCAATGATTAAGAGGGGCACGAGAAGCTGCGGCAGTGCCCTTCCTACAAAAAGGGGCATTATCTCGTGTATGTTCCTCGTGGCTACTTAGGGAAATGTGTCTTTGCTGTTCTGTACTGCATACGAGAACACAGGTACTGTTTCACATATCAGTATATTCCCGGCTATTCATAGCAGTAGCAAAAACACACGTTAATATGCATCAGCGCAGAACTTCAGCAGATGTCCAAGACGCCCTCTGCTCAACACATTTTCTGCTGGGTACATATCTGCATGTTACAAACATCTCACAAAAGACTAAAAAAAGCAGCCCGTACTGACAAATAAATGTAAGAAAAGAGGATTACCTCACAGACACTCTTCTGAAACTGCAGAGCTTTACAATTCTCTGGATTTGGAATATCAGGGTAGAAGGTTTCTTTGATCCTTTAAATAAAGATGATTAAGTGCATTTAACAATTAGGATTATCAGACCACAAGTAAGTTAGCAAACCCCTGGGCTTATTTTGACATTTCACAGGACGCTTCAGTGAACATCTGAGACTGTGAAGCCGCATCAAAGGTGCGCTCGCTCACGAAGCTCCTGTCTGAAAACTACAAGCAGTACTTCTGTTTCTAGAACTACAGTATCTTACGGATCTTATGAAAGTGGAAAAAGCAAAGGATTCAAACGGTGACGGTGCTCTCAGGTCAAAAGTACAACACAGGCACCGCTTGTCTGACTCAATGGCCACAGTGCGAGTGGGATCATGCACCGTCTGGTTGTTGGGGAGCGTATCTGCACGAGGCAGTTCCCCACGGCTCCTAACAAGGTCTGCACTCTGGGGGGAAAAGGCTACCAAAAATGAAAGGCAAACAAAAACAAGATTGGCTCAGAGCTGTGTCATATGTAGACCTGTTAAAAAGTCTGGCATTTGACATTCCCGCAGGAAAAAAAAACAAAACTTTATTAATCTAAAATGCCTTAGCTTCTAAATATCTTTTGTATTCAAATCGTTTTTATTTTTTTTATAATTTTTTTTTAAGATTTTATTTATTTAGTTGACAAAGATCACAAGTAGGCAGAGAAGCAGGCAGAGAGAGAGAGAAGGAAGCAGGCTCCCTGCTGAGCAGAGAGCCGGATGTGGGGCTCGATCCCAGGACCCTGAGATCATGACCTGAGCCGAAGGCAGAGGCGTAACCCACTGAGCCACCCAGGTGCCCCAAGGATGGCATTTTTAATACCAGTGAGGGCCGTCTATTCATGAACACAGCCATCTGTCCCAAGCCCCGCCCAGGACGCCTCCTGCCAGCTGACCCTGAGTCCCCGCTCACCACCTCCCCTCCTCTCCCCTCCCCTCCTGCCTCTCTAGCTTCACTCAGACACCCAGGTCTTCTCACTGCCTCCTGATGACCACGCTCTTTCCGGTTTCTGGGCCCTCACAGGATCATTCTCTCCTCCTGGGACACTCTTTCTCTTCTCCTTACCCTGTGGGACTCTGCTCAGATGGAACTCCCCTTGGGAAGTCGTGGCTGACCACCTGCAGTGACATGGTTGCCCCGTTATTCCCCTCATGGTACCCTGTGACCTTCCCAGTACACACATACTTTATAAGCATGTGTTTACTGGATGATTATGGGTTTGAGGTCCCCCCTTCCCCACTGAGCTCTAAGTCTGTAAGGATCACGCTTATTTAGTTCCCCACTGTTATCACTCTTCATGTGGGAGGCGGCATTCATATTTGCCAAATATATGAGTAAATGACAGTATATTCTAAATAGGTCACCAGGACAAGTGTGATCTAATCATTAATCCCGCACACAGCTATTGCCGTATCTACACCTATACGTATTTTTAGTGCATCTATTACTTTAAATCATTAGTAAATACAGTTAAGAGGAGGTTTACCTTTTATATTATTACTTTAAAAACCTTTCAGTAATTCTTGTTTAATATTAAATCCAATATTAATTAGGACTAAACCAACATTTTTTACCAACCAGTTTCAACCAAGTACTTATTTCTTAACACATGAACTGAATTATCACACTCTTCAGAAACAACAGCAAGCAGAAACGCAGGTACCATTACCATTCTCGTTTCCGATAGCAAAGGACACTCGTGACCACTCCCACGGTGACAGCCACGGCCACTGGGATGAGAATGGCGATTATTAACCCCACAGCTGAAAAAAGAATATTGGATATATTCAAATCACCACTTTAAGCAGGATGTATAGAAGACATTCATATTATAAGATACTTAAGTTGACAGATTAAAGAAAAAAAATCCTACCTGATCCAGAGACACCAAAAAATTATTAAAATACGACCTTCAAGCATTTTAGTAATTTTTACACTAATACGTAAATTCTTTAGAACAGGACTGAGTGCCACTGACATGTGAGGCTGGATCCTTCTTCCCTGTGGGGCTACCGTGTGCACTACAGGGAGCTTAGCAGCGCCCCTGGGTTTCTACCCACTAGATCCCAATATAGCACCCCACAGCTCTGAGATCCAATCCTGTCACCAGATGCCACCAAGTATCCCCCAGGAGGCAAAATGGCCCCCAGCTGAGAACCATGTCCTCATGGTGCTTTATTTAAGTGTGTGTGAACTCTAACTCCAGGCTGGAGGAGATGCCACCTTCCAACTCAAGCTCTTCGCTGCAGACAGTCAAGCCCATCTTCCCTATTCTCCTTCTCAAACTGGTGAATGCTGGGGTTTACAGTTTTTTAAAGGGTATTTCTTTAGCTCTTCCCTGGGTATGTTAAAAATCACATTTGGAATAGGGCAAAAAGGTGTTAAAGTGGGGGACACCTGGGTGGCTCATTCAGCTGAGGGTGCAACTCTTGATTTCAACTCAGGTTATGATCTCGGGGATGTGAGATCGAGCCCTGCATGGGGCTCCCAGCTCAGTGGGGAGTCTGCCAGAGAGTCTTTCTTTCCCTCTCCCCCTGCACCTCCCCCACTTGCACACACGTGTGTGTTCTCTCAAATAAATATAATCTTTAAAAAATATGTTAAAGGGGGTCAGCTTTATATAGATTTAACATGAATTTAGAACTCCAGATTTGAGATGTATCCTTCATACAGTAATTTCTTAAGTACTCTTAGGAAAAGAGCTTCAAATAACTGACAAGAATAAATATGAAGTCATCCTGTGGCCTTTGAACACTGCTGGCTACGCATGATAAACAAGCAACAATACATGCAATTTTAAAAAAGGGGGTTCCTCCATGAACAAAACTTGCTGAAAACTTATGCATTTAGGTACGGAAAGCACCTCAACAGCAATAATTATCTTACAATTTTCCTTCGTCACCACGAACATGCTCTTCTCTGGGCCCATGCCACCATCTGTGTAGGCTCGCAGGACCAGATGGTAACTTGTTTTACCCTGAAGATCAGCAATTCTCAGTGTCTTCTGGGATAGGTCAGTAATGTTCTTAATCTTTATGTCTGACCGACCTATTTTCAAAGGGAAGATTATTATTACTGATCTCTACACCATTTTTTAAACACCTAGCTACTCATACCTGTTCGACCCACACCTCTGTCTCGAGTGAGTGGTTGCCGACTGCCCTTGAGGCCAGTGCCTGTGGACCCCATTTCAAGTTCTCCCTCTGCCGTTAGCAGCCATGTGGTCCAGACCTGGTATTGAAACTACCCCAAACTTGAGTTTCTCTAATTCATGAAACAACGATCACGACCTACCTCCCAGGGCTGTGAGAAGTTGTCATACATTCTCTAGAATAATCCTGGCATATGGCAGGTAATCAACAGAAGTCCCTTCTCTTCCTCAGAGCAGGAAAGTGTACCTCCACCTGCTGGGGCAGGGTCGCTGTGCCTGGGGCCACCCCACCGAGTGGTGCCAGAGCCCCCTTGCTACCATGCTCGCTCCCGACTGCCTGCGAAGAGGCAGCACACTGAGCTGTCGCGTGAGCCGCTAGCCAGGAAGCCTTGAATACTCACAGGATCATTTCAGAAGAAGGATGAAGAACTGCTTCAACTATTGTTTTAAAGTTTTAATCAAAGTAATAGACGACTAGTTTGAAAAACTGAACAAGATTAAATGGTAACAACAAAACGCAGCAGTTTTCTGCTCGCACCTTCCCTGCCAAACGTCACCTGTTTCTTTGGATATTTACTTCTGTATTTTGAAATAAAATCACGCTGGCGGCACTTTAAGACTTGTAGACATTACATACCCATGTCCTACAAAGAAGGTGAAGCTTGGGTGTTCTCAGCACTCTGTCTCCCTCACGTCCCACATCATTCACACATACCACAATGTTTGGGAAATTCACCATTTACATTACTGCGATCGTTTAAGTATGGATTCCTGCTAGACAAACTGCTTGGTCTGCTCATGTTTCCCTTACTTTTCTGTTGTTTTAATGTCTTTTCCTCATTTGCTTAATGTACCCATTCCTAATTCTTCCCACACCCTCCTGTGACTATTCAGTGCAATTTTCCACATGGCCCAATGCAACAAAATCCCAGAGCCATGACTGGCTGCCCCACCTCCCCACATCCCCCCACCCAGGGCCCCCTTCCCAGTGTATCTGCTCCAGACCCAGGCCTTCCCAGCTCCCACCGTCCTGAACCACCTTGTCCCACTTGCTTCCTCAGGCTGACCCACTGTTCTAGAACCATTGCCTGAGAAGGGGACATGGGGAAGGAAGTATTTGCAGCTCTACGGGTCTGAAGATGCCTTCCCTCTGCTCTCACACTGGCTGCCGCTGACAGAGTACAGACTTCAAGGTTGAAAAAAATTTGCACTCAGTTATCTTGGAGACCCAGCTGTGCTCTCTTCCAGCATCTGCTGTGCTGCTGAGAAATCCGAGGCCACTTTCATTCCTGAGGCCTCACACCTGAGCCAGTCTTTTCTGTTTCTAGGACTTGTATCAGGTGCTTGGGAAATTCATGACAGCCTACCCTGGTGTAGATTTCTTTTTTGGTGTAGATTTTTTTCTACCTATCTTACTGTGTACTTACTGAGTGCTTTTATCTGGGAAATGTTCTTCTGCTCTTTGGTCATTTCCTTCTATTGCGGCCCCCTCCATACCTCCCCCACCAAGAACTCCTATAAAGCGTGACAGCACAGGTCTCCGCGTGCTCCAACTTCCTCATTTTACTCCAAGTTTTCTCCTCTGCATTTGTCTAACTTGGGGAAGAATTTCTCTCCCATGTAATTTCACTACTATTTAATTCTTTAAAATTTTCTTTGATTACATTTGTAATTTTGATGAGTTCTTACCTATCTTCTGACCATTCTTTTTTAATAACACCAGGGGATAATAATAAATACAATAAATACAGGGAGGGTATCTCCACTATGCAAGGATAGTTTTGTTCTTTGTTTTAAAATTTTGTTTCCCTACTCTGAATCTGTTTTCTCTAATTTCTTCTGGTTTCTGTTAGAAACCAGAAGAAATGTTAGAATCTTTCTCAACCATCTGGTTATCCCTGGCTGCTAGTCACAGTTAGAGCGAGCCCCTGGAAGGTCACTGTGAATGGGTGGAGCTTACTGGTTGGTGGGCTTCACTTATCACTGGTGGGGAATGACCAGGTCAATTTCTGGCCTTTCACTGGGACAGCCCCCCAATACCAGCACCTTTTGTGTCTTGCCCCAGGAACCATTTCCTTTTTTGCAAAGAAAGATCCTCTTATCTTGTCCAGGGAAATAGACCTTAGCTGAAGATGTCCTATTAGCTTCCTATTAGGGGAAGGAGGAACAGAAAAGGTCACACTGTTCACTAGGGTCCCTCTCTCTGGAGGTTCTCTGGCTGTTTCTCCAAAGAATAAAGCCCTCATCTTTGGGCAGGGGAACGGGCACTCACGTTAGCTGAATGAAGTTGGTGTACAACTTTGGGGGTTCTCACTGCTTACAAACTTTCAGTGAGTCCTCACTGTTCAGCTCCTATCCATCCTAACCACCTGCCTCCAATCCCGACCTATAGGATGAGTCAAATTATTTCTCGCTGAAGCCTGAACGTCCACCTGGATTTCACCATCCTTCATCCTCCAGGTGATCTGTCCTACTCCCATCAGCCCAAAAATGTCCAAATTTGGTGTACTCTTGCCTGTCTCTGTTTGTTTGGCTTTATGCTTTTCTTTTCCTCTTCAACTTCAGTGACCAATCCTCCATGTCTAAATGGAGTCTAGGTGCTAGAATTTTAATTGGTACAGCGTAAAATTTCTGAACATTTGAGAAAAATTTCACCAGACTCTAGGTATTTGTAGAACTTTGTATGTGGGGTTTTTCTCATTCACAGGCAACTGCGAAGGTTCTGGAAACACAGACCTTAGTGGTGAGGAGGCGGTGCACAGTTGGCACAGCTGCTCTGGGAAGTGCCTTAGCTGATGCCCGGGCAGCACCACCATGCAGCACTACTGTTCTCAACTTGTCGGACGGGCATTGAATAATTAAAGTGGTTTTCTTCTGAGGAGAGGTCATTAAGGGAAGTGAGAGCTCTCAAACTGAAAAGATGATAGCCTTGTGTTATGTGGCTATGAAGAGGAAACATCTGACTCCCAACAGAAATATAATTTAGGGAGAAGCCATAAGTCTGCATAAACATTTCTGTATTTATAAATTTGAAAATTCTCTATGGACTCTGGACATCCGCTTACCAACTGTCAAGGACTGACTGAACCTTTAAAGATCTAATGGATGCTCTTGTCCCCAGTCAAGTCAATTAAGCTTGCCAGCTCACCAAGGCCACTACTAACTGTGCGGACGGCTCTCTGTCAGGTAACAGCAGAGGCTCTGGAGCCCTTCTCTGGGTTCCTGAACTTTTCTCCTCCATTATTAGAATTACAGAAAGACTTTTTTAAAAAAATTTTAAATAACCTAGGTAAGATGCTATGTTTGTTATGCATGATACAAGACTGCTAAGAGATGATCTCTGTCCTACGGGGCTTATAATCACAGTCTGCAGAATAATTTAAATGCAAAATGGTACAAGTCATTTATCACATACTAAAATCCTGAAATTCTCATATTTATCCATTTTCCTTTATCTCTTTGTCAGTTTTGGAAACCAGTATTACTCAGCAGCACTTCTCTTTCCTTGGTTTTTATTTTTTTATTTTTTGTGGTTAAAGAGAACTTCTAGGAAATATTCCCGCTGTAGTTAAGTGACTTACCGGATTCCAAACCCCTTATTTTAGATGTGTCTCTCTCTCCTTTTTCAAAGTAAAATAAGTATCCTCTTAAAAAGCCTCTGAGCTCTTCCACGGGAATATCTTCCCATTTTACTAGTATCGAATCTGCAGATGTGTCCTCAACAGTGAAATTTGGCGCAACAATTGGAGCTGTAAAGAGAAAAACGTCCGCAGCTAGAGGAGAGTTGACGGACACAGAGGAAGACCGCAACATTTGATGACATTTCTATCCTCAAGAATAACTGAATCTGAAATTAGAACTTTATTGTCTACGAAGTCCCACTTTCAGAGGTACTAGCACAAGCACTGCTCCCGTGAAGCTCATGCACTACTGACTGGAGACACAAGGGGGTTTCTCACAGCACACACCCGCAGCAGAGGGAGAGGGGGCCCCCTCGGCAAAATCCGGGAGCAGCTATGCAAACAGAACTGTGTCCCCCCTCTGTACACAGTCTTAAAGTTAATGGTTTTATTAAACGTGTTTAAGTGCAAATTTTAAGTCTCTCTGACATCAAAATTCAGATTTCATTTCTCAATGACAACAGTAAAACTGTGAAATATAAACATTAACGAAATGAAGATTAAGTAATCACAATTTTCAATTTATCATACAAATTATTCTTCCTTCCTTAAACATCTCAAATCGTTTTTAGAATTCAATCTTGCAATCGCTATTTATTTCTGATTCCTCATGTTACCTTGGACTCTAAGAAAACATACCCATTTAACTTACCCAGTTCTTCTACATATCCAATTATAGAGCGCAGTAACTGATACCCTTGATTCCTGCACCCATACAGAAAAAACTTGTATCTTACACCAGGTCGAAACTGATCTACAGGATGGAGACAATTAACTTTTGTTAAGCACATATTACTATGAACATCTATTTTAGAAATAGCAAACCTATATATAATCACTTATTCTGAAGTTTCCAAAGCTAATTTTAAATAGCTTTTTTCTTATCATTAAAAAAATCCATTTTTTCGAAACTGATAAATATTCAGAGTGAAAAATGACTAAAGAAAAATTAAACAAATTCACTTCTGTAATGAACAGTGTAACATACCATGACCTTGAAGGGAGAAAATAGTGAACAGGGCTTTCATTCTGTTTCTTTAAGACCAAGCAACGAGGACTTCTTCCCAATTTGGGCCGGGTCAGTTTACTAGCCAATTCCAGGTCCAAGTCAAGCCTCTGGAAAGCCCTTCCTGCTCTAGCCAGTGTGATCGCTCTCTCCCCTTGCCTCTGAAAAGCAGAAACTAACATTTCCACTCTACCTTGCTGCTTCAAGTATGCCGGCCCATAGAGTCTGTTTTTCTATACAGCATC